GGGGCGCTGGGGGGGCGATGTCTCCAGCGGGCACTGACTGCTCAACTGGTTGTTGGCCAGGTTCATGGCGCTCTGCATCTCAGCCAGCATGCGCTGCTTCTCCCGTTTGGGGATGCGCCCGAAACGCACAGCTGTGACAGGATGAGCCATGTCAGGGAGCGCGCTCGCACATGCACTCGCGCGTGCGCACAGCTTTTCCTTCTCCTCCTTCTCCTCCTCCTCCTCCTCCTCCTCAGAGGAGCAAGACCCTGAAGGCTGGGGCTCTGCATCTCACCGAAACCAGCAAGGCCACACCCACGGGGGCGGTCCAAGTAGGATTCCATGGGCGGGGCCCACCAGGACCAACCAATGGGAGGCAGGGGTGGTTCACCGGAGGGTAACCCCTGGGCATGCTCCATGCAAATGAGACTCTGGTACCCTGGGCCTCAGTTTGGGACAGTATCTCAAAGGAGGGATGTAGTCAAATGCTGGGTGAAAGGGGAGAGGAGGACGTGAGTGCTGCCTCACCGTCTCGAGACATGCCCACGGACAGACACTTCTTGAAGCGACACTGCTGGCAGCGGTTTCGGTTGATGCGGACAATGGAGCAGTTCTCGTTTTTCAGACACCTTTTGTACTGAATGTTCTGCTGGATGCTGCGACGGAAAAAGCCCTGGCGGGGAGGACAGGGGTAGTCAGTGAGCATCTCTGGCTGGCCTGGCTGGGGGGGGGGTCACCTGGCCCCCCCCTGCCTCACCTTGCATCCCTCGCAGGCGTGCACACCGTAGTGAAAGCCAGAGGCCACATCCCCGCACACTTTACACAGGAGTACCATGCCGTTGAGCTCTGTAGGAAACGGGAGCAGAGGCCTGTCTGAGTGGCCCAAGAGGCTTCCCGTGCTGGGGACCCCCACAGGGAAGGAAAGGAGGAGCCCTGGAGTCTGGGGGCACTGACATGAGCAGACTACACTGGACAGGGGTCCCTGAGGCCCGGCCAGGCACCCCAGTGCCCAGCCCAGCCCTGGCCTCCTACCCGACTCCCCACCCACTGCTCCGTGACTCACTGGTGATGTTGCTGGTGCTCTTGCTGGGAGACACTCGGCTGCTGTCCTCCATGGCCACTTGGAGACCCCCGGGGGGGCTCCCATTATAGGAGGAGGAAGAGGAGGAGGAGGATGAGGAAGAGGAGGAAGAAGGGGAGCTGTCCTCGCTCAGGCTGGGCGGGATGCTCCCAAAGGAGCGAGCAGGATCCTGGGTGAGGGAGCCCGTGGGTGATGGCGGAAAGTAGGTGAGGCAGCCCTGGGTCAGGGACTGGAAGCTGCCGTTGGAGCTGTCGCTGTAGAGGGACTCGGGGCTGGTTCGGCTTGGGGAGGAGCTGCTGGAGCCAATATAGGTGATGACACCACCTGGCAGAACACACGAGAAGGGCGTGTTGGCCACCGTGTCTTTGATCCAAGGGTCGCACCATGCTCATCCCCAAAACACGGCTCCTCTTCAAGTTGACCATGTAGACGCCCCGGCCTTCCAGTTACTAAGCAATGACCTGATACATCCTAGACCCGGCATGGCTGAAATGTAAGTCTAGTGAGTAATTCCCACATGTACCAGACACGGCCACACCAGCCTAGTCACAAGGAGCTCCCGGAAGAATGCTAGATACAGCACAGCTAGCCGCACAACACAGCAGCTTCTGCTTTGGGGGTGAAGTGTGACCCCCGCAGTCATCTCACGCCCCCTGCTCTGGACAGTTTCCTAGGGAAGGCCACAGCACTGACTGGGCCGTCAGAGGCAGAACCAGGGACGTTTGGACGGGGTGAATAGCTAAGGGGCAGAGGCAATTCCTGGATCTCCACAAACAAGAACTGGCTGCCTGTTCTAACCCCAAGCCCTTCCCGGGGATGAGACGGAACTCACGAAGGGATGGCTAACCACCAGCAAAGAGAGCAGACATCTTACAAACGAAAAGTTCCCCCAAACCAGGAGGTGCACTCTCAGAAGATACCTCAGGGAGGGAACCAGCCCAGCCTGATTCCCTCAGCCTCGGAGATGAGTCACAGGGGACTCTCTGCATCGAGGAAGGGCTGCTGTGGATCCAAGGGCAAACTGTCCAGCCTCTGGCCCTGCAATTCCCCCTTCCTGGTCTCAGCCTGGTGACCACTCTGGTTTTCTGGCCACTTGGGGACTTTGGCCCTCTGACTACACTGCCAACCATGGGTTCCACTGCCGTGGTATCAGCAGACCTAAAAGGTGACCTTCCTGCTACACCCCTGCCAAGCACTTCGTTTGGCTTGCCAGGGGCTGGGTGGGAGAAAGGAGGCTCCCAGACACGTGTGATCTGACACACGCCATGCCCGTGTCTGCAGAGGCACATGTCTTGCTCACCCACTGACACACACTCCACTGGGCAGGGAAACCTTAAAATAGCTCAAGGTTGGTCAGGGTGAACCCAGGTCCTTGTAAAATAGTTGCACAACAGATGAGCTCCTAGTTTCAGGGCTGAAGCGGGGAGCCGCTGGTAAATGAACTTCCG